GTACCATTGTGACCGACTGAACCATGTCACTCGGAGTCCTTAACGACTGATAGGTGGGTTGTAGATCAACGTTAATTTCGTAAAATATTATCTAACCCAGCTGGTGGTTTTGAACAATTGAGAGAGGTGGTTGTATTTCATTCTGCCTAAGGTTCTCTTTCTAACGGGGCTTTCGAGATATCCGATCGCTTCAAGGAAACCGTTTTTCCCTAAGTCTTGTTCACCACATCGAAGGCATATCTACTATCAAGAAAGAAAAAGGTGGTTGGCTTGCAATACATGACGAGTTCCAAGAAATTATCGATACATTTATCAGTTAATCATACGGAATGTAAAGTATAATATTTGTATTTGTCGAGTATATTTAAAGGAAAGTAGTAAGGCGAAGAGTAGAGTGGATACAATAATGATGAATAGCAGTGAAAAGTTAAACATTATAAATGTAGCTCAAAAACAATAGAAACCACAAGGTAAAACTATGTTGCAAATAAAGGACAGATAGTATAAGTAACTGACTGATCTTGAGCCTACCTAAGGTTTGCCAGTCGGTTATCGGCCTGACACCAATAAGGTACGGACTTCGCAATACGACACAGACTGAAAGTAAATTACATTTTGTTTTGATGTGGCTACTCCTATCCAACTTCCAACCTAACTACTAGTAGAGAGTATCGAGAGCACAAAAGCTAAAATAAACTAGTTAGTATAATGAAAGACTATTTCGGCACCTGTAAATTTATACTGATAGCTATCACGTGTATTACGCAAATTCTTTTAGAAAACGAACACAACAATCACTTTGTTTTGAAATGCTGAGGAAACTTAAATTTGCTTTTTCACATAATCCAAACAAACACCTGACCAGGATTTTGTTTACACCTCTGGGAAAGGTCGAGTGGCTCTCATGTAACTGAAGTTCGCCCAGAAGTCCCCCATATAAGATAGGTTCGCACTTAACGACGGAAGAGTTTGGAAGTTTGATGAAAATTACTAGTAATTGTCTTTTGAATTCTCCCACTCTATCTAGGGAAGTAGTTTTTGGAAAATTGTTAGTTGGGGTCGCAGCCAACTCAGATTGATTGACGGATAATAAGTTTTTCTTGCCATTGATTGAAATGGTCTTGAACAACTGCTACTTCCAACTCGGGTACTAGGTTTAAAAGTCCTTGAGTAGGTGCACTTAAACTTCACACAGTACCGTGTTCAGAACAGAGAATTATTCGACAACTGAAACGCGAGTTCGGTACGTGAACTAGAGAATGTACAATAAATAATTAGATGCTCCAAAGGTAGCCACAAAAGACAGCGACAATGTTGTGAAGAAACATGAAGAAAGTTACCAGTAGCGCACATGACATTTGTGATGCTGAGGGGGGGTAGGAAGGGGCACGAACTTAATTTGTACACAGACTATCACGGGGATGTACTCTGCTATTCCAGTATTTTGTGTGTTAAATATTTAAGTTGTATGTTCAGGGGATTGGCATTTCCCCAAGAAAAGTAAATATTTCAGTTTGAGTGTATGGATAGTAGAAAGCCAGTACTAGTCAAAAAGTAACTGCCATTTGAGAAAATTGTAAAGACGGTTTTTGCTATCCGATATGCGCATTTAGGTGCTCAGTATTTATCAGAACTCAAACTTGATTGCTTCTGTACCTTACAAGGCTACCAGAACACAAGTGGGGACATGATCACTTAGTTTTGCTTCATACTCGGTGTTTTGTACAGCAACATCAATGAGAATGGATATCGGTACCATAGTTTCTGAATGGATACGCATGAAAAGTGGTCGAGCCAACAAAACAAATTTCGACTGCTTCATTGGAATTATAATTTGCAAACATCCGTATATTGGTACAGAGTTATATTTGCGATTGTCACAGTTGTTGCTCAAACAACGACCCTACTGTTTGAACTGAAAAAATAGTTTTCCTCGAAGAACGCTGGTAGACTTTTTAATCCACAGGTCTGATCCAGGATCCAGTGAATCAGCGTTCAAAAATATTCTTATAGTAGCCAGTGGCAACAATAAGATTATATGCCAACAAACTTGATGGTGGTACCGTGTGATTAACTTAAATAAAGTTAGTACGGTAGTACGAACTATGCAGCTGGATATATGACGACCTTAACAGATAATCTTTAAGTGAAATAAATATTCCTTTGTCAATACTGAACACGGTAAAGAAATAATATCAACATAGAAAATTAATAGATATTTTAAAATGTTTTATCTATTTAAAATGTTCGGGAAAAGTTAAACAATATCTCAAACGTTCTTTAGCAAGGGAAACATCTATTTCATCTTGCATTAATGGTAAAAACGTCGGAGTACCGTGTTCAAGAAAAACATCTGACGGAATTTTTTCCAAGTGTTCTAACTGTTTCCTGACATACTTAATCAATATCTCGATTTCTTGAAAAGTAGTTGTTGGACAACAGAACCATATATTACTCCACAACGCACTAGCTAAATGTGAGTCTAAGCAGGATAGTAAAGCTTCATCATATCCGACCATATTGCCAAGGTATTGCCCACGAAAGACTTTAATCTGCTTATGACTTTTCGTTAAGATTTTGAATGCACGCACTCTGTGTTTCATATCTTCCCAAAGAGCCTAAGAAAAACTAGTTAAAGGTAATACTGATAATACTCTATCCATCCATTTTTTTATGAGATACCCTTCTTGTCCTTCTTGGCGTAGACGCACGTAGCACATCCATATGTGTAGTGTGGTTAATGAGAACCACGTTTGAAACGTGTCTGGGAGTTTAAGATGTTGCACAAAATCCTTAAATACGGGGTATTCCGCACAGATTATGAATAAGTTTTCACCAGAAATACGAAGGGTTATGTTTGAATATCGTAGTTTATCAGTTAATCCAAGGAAATATTTTGTCTTTGTCAGTGCTGTTGACTGAATAAAGTTTGGTTTATGTGGATGTGAAAAACGAGCAGACACATGGTTAACGTTCCTCCATAGATTAAAAATCCGCAGCCTTTGCAAATTCATATTTAAAATAACGGGAGAAAAGTTACGCGTTTACTTTTGTCCTTTGTATTAGACAACTTTCAGTTCTAAAAGGTTGGCGAAAACCAACTTAGTTAACTGATATGGTAATGAATTTAGGGCATTAATGGCACTATACCACAACCAAAATTTGAGTGGTGAAACGGAGTCAGACAAAGTTGTTTTATAATGGCCTTTCCAGATTTTACTGCTAAAACAGGAAAAAATTGGGCTCAATATTTAAACATAAAACTTTAAGCACGATAATCCAATGTATTTTGACCAGTGAACAAAACTTAAAATAATATAAATTCTAAGATCAGAACTTAAAACGTAAGTGATTGAAAATCAAGACTACACTAGTTATACGAAAAATTCATTTTGCGGACTACTTACAATTAAATTTAAATTCTCAGATGTCGTAAAATCTAAGTAGACGTGTTGCACAGACAGTAAGAAGCTTTTTGAACTTAATTAAATTTGTCGCTACTTGAAACGACAATTCTCAGGTGATGATTAGTGCAATGATATCAGAGTTATGAACAGTGACAACGATTAGTTGGCCGGGTCTCTTAATATTTACGGTTATTGAAATTATAGTTATAAAAATAGAAAAGATTAGGGGACGGGCGCACCTTAAAGATGGGTCGGAGAGGAATAATCAGTAAGCAGTCATCACTATAGTGCCAGGAAAAAAGTGCGCTGGTGCAAACAGCCATACCACATTAACACGAAGAGATAGAAATCAAAGGATATCGCGAAGATATAAGTGGACGAACATAAGGAATATAGAACGCAAATATTGAATGGAAACTTATGTATAGAGAAAGAATCGAAGGCTAGACCGCGGGAAAAATAGAGTGGAAGGTGCCTACCACACTGTGAAGAATTCGGAGCAGTCACACAAACACTTTAGCGACAGATCGCTGTTATCGCGCAAATCCCAACCTAGTAGTTAGTGTCTACAGGCAGTGAAAACGTAGAAAATGGTAGATAAATTCAACTTGTTATACCCGATTAAACAGAGATAAAGTCAGGCCAAATCCTAGAATATTAGTAGTAACAGTATCAGTGGTAATAGGAAAAATTAGGCATCGAAGATTCGATTCGAAAAAATATAATAGTGAAATAAAAAAAATTATGAGGAATTCATAATCTCACAATTTAGAGGACAAAGAACGGATGCACCTATGCCATTCCAAACGAATTTGATCCATGTTATTCAGCCTCTAACCACCGGTTACAATAGCCGCGCAGACTCCAACCAGGTAATTATATATCTATTAACGTGGCTCAGTCCTAGTGTCAATGATTTCATATACTGATGCCATGTCTTGGTTTGGCCACTCCTAGCATCCTTCTAACTTACTACACCAGAAAATGTCATCTACAAAGTAGGCGGTGGTTGGGCGTACGTAACACATGGACCGACAACCTCAGTCGATAAAGACTTACTAATTCATTAATCGACTTGTCATCTTTACCTAGTACTCTAAATTGTGCATTGCTTACAGTGTTCCCAAAATATACGAGCAACACTACGTAGACACCTATGATTGATTACTGACAAACTGCGAGTATCCCCCACTCTTAATAGCCATATTTCACATCTATAAAATAGAACGGAGAGAGCTGCTGCGCAGTAACCCTCCCCCCTTTGGTTGAAAGACGGACATCTTGCCTGCGCCACAAGTTGCCAAAAATCAATTGACACTTCTAAACCCGTGACGAGATTTCGTCAGACACCAGACAATTAGGAATGATCAAACTCCCAAGATAAGTGAAGTTGTCAATGCAATCAACAACTTCACTCCTTATCACTAATTCAAGAGCCAACGCAAGCCAATCCTGAAGTGACATTTTACGCTTGGAAGGAGAGAACCACGTCCCAAACATATTTTCATTGTTTTTTCAAAGTGATCATGAGACTGCATTTGTTCAGATCCTTCAACAAATAGAACTATACCACCTGCGTATTCAAGTCAGCAAGTGGATATCCTAGTGGAAGATGAACCCTTCAAATTCGGATGAAAGTGTCATCTCCATGACAAAGTCAACTAAAAATGGGAAAAGCGGACAGTCTTGACCAACACCACTTGAAGTAACCAATTCAACCCAAATCATTTCACTGATAATAGATCGGTTGGGGTCTATATCCAGCTTTCTTAATAGCTTTGTGCTGCTCACTGATCTCACGGAAATGTTTCCGTGAGGTTCAAAACAAGCAAGCAGGTAAGGAAAATTGTCACTGCTCATCAATTTTGCATAACAGTTACTCAGCTTGTTTGCCATCTTCATATTACCTCTGTTTCAGGTCGCTTCACAAAATGTATTAGTCTGCTTAGCATCTCAGGTCGATTTTACATCACCATTATTCTCTCGCAAACTTTTGCGTCGTCATAAATTAATCGGGGCAAATTAACGCAATGGATGACCAACCTGATATTTTACAAAAGAGAGTAGCGCACAGTGCGGTCCCCGCGGAAAATGTTACCACAAAATGAGCACTGAACAAACAGCAACTGCTTATTAAAAGAGCAGAGAAACACAGTCACGGTGTCTACGTAAAATATGTTGTTACAAAAAACTTTTGCAAACAGAACAAACGAAAAGTTGGGGACTTTAGAAGACACGAGTCAGTCAGATAAAGACGATGCTGTTAGTGTAATCCGCATCCTACACTAGAGGCCTGACAACATACTAGTTTCAAACGCGTTGCCATATACTGAGAAACCTACTGATGCAGATGTTGTCACAAACAGGCTCGAACACGCTGGTCTAAATCTTTCTGACTGTAGTAAAGGACGTTTAGCAGTAGTAGAAATCAACAAACCTCGATGAAATGGAGAAATCAACCCTGATTCTTAAGAATCGTCCCATCGTTAGAGTTCCGAGTTAAGCGATTCATAAATTAATGTGGGTGGCATGGGAATTTGTCAAGCGCAAGTGATTATTTGTCATACGAATACTCGTTGCCTACTGAATAAAATGTTATAGCTTAGAGATGTAGTTGATATGAAAAACTTTAATGTATTCACAGCTTCTAAAACACGGGTGATATATGATGCAAGCGATGGGTGTCTCGCTCTCCAGAACTGTAATATCAAACTGGGGCGGTTGGGGGGGTAATCCTTTTCCTGTGGAACATGTATCGTGATAGTGACACACGATGTGAAGACATGTGAATTGGTGCTAGACCGACTAGAATTCAAGGCTTAAGACAGGAGTTATGATCTCAGTTATTACGACCTACTATTACTGTTAAGTGATTTTTGATACTAATTCACTCTATAAGCCTTCAAATCAGAACATGGTTGAACAGAGAAGTGATCGTGTTCCAAATAAACTAGGTTGAATGAAGGTAGGGATCACAATAAGAAAAATATTGGTATATTTTTTTTAGTTTTAGTACAGTAAGATTTTCGAGTATTTTCCAAGTATCCTCTTGTGCTGGTTGATTAGGAAATAGCCAATCAGCACCCTCAACACAATCCTGTCCAGAACGTGATGTAATGCAATCTATATCCTGCTAACAACACAGGACTTGTTGTAGTGCACTATAGCCCCGACTGTAAAGTGGATGATTTCCTCTCAATGAAATTATGACTAAGCAAGTTAAGAAACCCCTTAACATGTTATCTATGTACCGTCTACAAATATGGGTGACCTGGAGACTAAGTCATCAAGAAGATTACTCGATTATTAAACATTAGAAACCACAACCTAACCATATGCGGTCCAGGACATTGTAGATTTCACCATATATGACGTTCAATACTCTTCTACCTTGGACTCACTTTTCACTGACCGTGACGTTCGCCTGTAGGGAGCACCGTTCATATGATCATATTTAAGTCTATTATTGCTGTGGTCTACCAACCAAACGCTCAGGCCTTTTCGAACATATGGAAGGCAGATATATAAGCGATCAGTTGACTAAGGAACATCAATAGAACAAGCATAGTGTCACTTTCGGCGGTTATACAACCGGTCAAAAGCCATTTATACACTAAGTTGCACCAAAAAGAAAGAAATGCCACATTACCTGGATGAACTGTGAGACTAGACGTTTGCTCGGAAAGAAGAAAAGACAGAGATATTGATGTTAATTTTGGCACAGCAAAAGAGAAGGGACTTGGCAGTTCCATGCGGAATAAGTGTCCTGAAACAATTCATGTCGCTCAGAGGAAATGTAAAAGACAATCGGAAAAAACATTAACCAAACAGCCGAAACACTACTCTTATTTATCGATTGCAGAACCAGAACATACTTAATCATTTCCAGTTGTAATTACGGAAGGGAGTGTGTCTCAAATGATAGAGGAATACCAGAACAAAATAGAAGCTATGGTTGACCACTTCGAAGTAGTTTACCTATGAGTCTCCTGTCAACTGAAGACTAGACCTAGAAGCGATGTCACTAAATCTTCTGCTTCCTGTGGACTTCAACCACAATGGGGTACTCAATGTATCAAGTGATTGTGATACAAAAAATCAATAAAACAGATACATACTTTCCTGACTTTCGGATCAGTCCCCAATGTAAGTGGCTGCTCAGCATAAAACAACACTCAAGATTTCACTAGGACAGCGGCTGGAAAGATGCCACTTTCTCCAGTTCAAAGGACAAGATCGAGATAACTCTCTTCAAACCACAGATACGTTAGCCTCCGGCTAGAATACTGAAGAGAATTATCAGACAGGTTAATGTGACTTTCATGAAGAACAACGGCTTGTTAAACAGCGAACACGCTATAGAAACGCAGTGAACACGTATGTATAAGTCACTATAACCTTCCGTCAGGGAACGCCATAGCTCTTAAACTTGTCTCACGATATTCTAAGAGCAATAATGAGCCACAACCTTTGAACAACGAATAACTACGATGAACACGCTGCTTATAGATTGAGAACCACGTGGGCGTTAAGATTAGCATTTACCAAGCTAGTTACACGTATGGCCACTACAGTACATACAAAATTATACAGAGTCAAACCTAACGAGTTCATTCAAGCTGCAAGGTCCTGTTTAAAATATGACCTAGATAACTTGGAAAAAACACGGAGGAAAAATACCGTACCAGTGTTGGAATAACTAGGATAGCCATAAAAGGTGGCTTGGAGAGTTAGTTTATCTAAATCACTAATGTTTAGAATATTAAAAATGAATTTAGGACTGGTATCTAAAGATTTCAATGAAAATTCATATACGTTTAGAAAAATATCCATGAAGTTCCAACAGAAACTTTTGAGAAAGTGTATTGACCTTATTTAATAAAAACCTCAAAATATTCCCCATAGTTTTGGGGATGTCATGTTGAATTCATCGATAAATACCTGGATTTTAAGCTCTATATAAACGTCTTTCTTAGAAACTTTTGTTTTGTTTCGCAGACGTAAAGCGATTCAAAATCCATTACACCACTGTTCTTCATATTAATATATTCGTTACCAGTGTCTATACATAGGCTCTGGAAATATAGTCTCAAGCTATATGCAGGTTTTGTACCAAAGGTGATGTAGAAATGTTTGCCCGGTTACAAACGTACAGTTAGATTGGTAAATACCTGTTAATTCAGCTAATTATTCAGTAAATAATAATTTCAACGTAAGCCGCTCGAAAAGGAATAAAGGTATACATTGATATTCAGGAATAGATGTAAAAATTATAAAGCTCACCTAAGAAACATCCCATTTATTTGTCCTGTCATTCAAACAAACAAATACATTATAAACTTCGCTTGTTTTATCTTAATACATTGGTAGATCCATATGTATGTATGGGATCACGGACTGATAGCCTCTGTAAAGGACCAAGTAAGCTAAGAAGCGCAAATTCTGAATACTGAGCAATCCAAATCTTCGTCAGTAAATCAACACAGAAAAGCGTAATAGAGAATAATATTTTAGGCTTCCAAGCATATCAGCACACAAACGGTACTGATATTCCGCAGGATTTATCTTCATTATAGCTTTTAAGATGTCAGTCTGAGTGTCATTGTACCAGTAGTGCTGTTTAGATACAACTATCTTGTGAATATGGCAAAAGAGCATTTTCTCAAGCGCATCCCAGCTGTCTCCATTGAACTGGTCAGGATAGTGGTCGAAAGCAATCATCTTAAGCATACCTATGGTTTACTTGGTCAAATAGGCCGAATGATTGCAAGAAAACATTTGTCGCAGAATTAATAACCTAGGCAAACATGTATTTGGAAGGTTTTAATTTTTGTCTCGCTATATAAATGGCGGTAGTTAGGACGTCGTGTCACAACCAGTTGCAGTACCTAACAGTATTTAAAATCCTTTTACCAAAATACAAATAGCTTGTTCACCGTGTTGCTACAGTTAAAAACAGGTTGAAAACAATAATTGATACAAAGGTGTTTTAATCATACATGCTGATTGCTAGGTGAGAGGTAAAATCATCACTGACTGGAATACTATAAATCATGAAGTCATAATAAACGGCCATGTTGAAAATGGAAGCAACCATAATCAACGGTACTTCATAAATGTTAATGACGTATGCGGTTAGATGCAGGAAGTTTTACATGAACCAGATTGGGGTGATGACATTACAGGACAGAATAGGAGGTTGAGAAAAACGAGTGTGCAATACATAAACAGCAATATCACAGACATCATATGCACAAAAGAACGTTACATTGTTTGATTGGACAACTAATCACATTAAAGAATGGAAGTAAGACAGTAATAGAAATTTTAGAGTTCATGGTTTAGAATGCAAATAATCGGCTTATTAACGTTTTCCATCGTATAGTTTTAGCGACTGTTTTGTATTTGAAATCATGTCTTAGCAAGCGTCAACGAAAAGTGCTGAGTTTACCTACTCTGGTGGAGAATTCAGTCATTGACTAAGCGGTGTGAGAAACGGAAACTCATGTGCAAACGACTCGACCTCAGTTTTAAACCTTCAAAAATATTCCCTCAGATGATTAGTCCTAGATGGAAGAGAAGTATAAAATCTTCATCCCAACATCGTCGTTCAGTATACGGAAAGTCATTCGATCAACCCTTCAAGCATGAAAGTTTTTTCTTAAATCCATGTTGTTTCATCGCCAAAATAGCCGAGAGAACAATCTTCTCCATTATTTTGACGACCACATATGTTAGACTGACCAGTCAGTAGTTACCAAGCCTCTACTCCACTCTTTGTGCACTGGACTGTTAATTGATTCTTTCTAGTTTTTTGACGGCTTCGACTGCCTCAAAGACATCAAAAAGCTCTGCGAGAGGTCCACTTCACATAACCTTAGGACGAATATAGTAAGGAACACTGGACTTATCTGGTTTGAGATGTTGCAGTAGTTGTAATACAGCTGCTATCTGAGCGACCACAAGGTCTATCCACAAACTGATATTGTCATTATTAATTTTTGGCCCTTTCACCAACCTTGGTATAAAACATTGCTTATTCCCAACATCAATGAAGTTTGTCGTA